AAGTCTTTAATCTATCTTGAATTAATTTGGAGAGGGGTGGGTTGTTAAATTCCATGTTTTTCTAAATGAATAATCCATTGTCCTAGCAATTTTATTGAACTGTCCTCCTTTCCCCGGTGATTTGAAATGTCACCTCCCTCATAAGCCAAGTTTCCTTATGTGTGTGGGTCTATTTCTGATTTCTTTTTTAAGTGGGTTTCATGCCCAACGACAGGCTGTGAGATCAAGACCTGAGCTGAGATCAAGAGTCAGACGCTTAGCCAACTGACACACCAAGGCATCTCTGTTTCTGTGATTTCTATTATTGTGTTTCATTGGTGTTTTTATCTATCCCTATATGAATATACACTGTCCTAATAACTATACTTTTATAATAAGCCTTGATATCTAATTTTTCTTCTTCATTAAGAATATTTTTGCTTTTCTTGCACCTTTGCTCTTCCATATGGATCTTAGAATCAGCTCAGCATCTTCCTTGAAAAGTCCTGTTGAGATTTTGATTGGAACCACTTCTGATTTTGAAGGAAGCACTTCTAACTTTTCATTATTAAGAGTGATAATTGCTGTAGGTTTTTGGCTTTGGTGGCTGCCTTTTAACCTGATTGAGGAAGTTCTCTTCCTAGTTTCCTACAAGTTATTACCAAGAGAGACTGCTGAATTTTAAAATTTTGCAACTGTTGGGATGATCTTCTAGCTCCTACAGGAATAGATTTCCTAATGTTAAATTATCCTGGCTTTCCTGGTAATGATACATCATTCCTTTTATATATTGCTGGACTCAATTTGCTAATGTTTTATTTAGGATTTTTACTTCTATGTTTTTGTGTGATTTAGGAATCATATTAGTCTGATCTTGTTTGGTGTGGAATTTAGACTGGTACAATGAGTGAGCTGGGATGTGTTCTCTCTTTTTCTATTTTCTATTTCCAGAAGGGCTCATGATATATTTTTTTGAAGGTTTAGACTTGCTTCTAGAATCATCAGGCTTTATGTTTTCCTTTGACTAAATATATCACCAGTTTCTCTAATAATTATAAGATTCACGTTTTCTATAATTGACAACTGATATAATTTGCTGGTGAACCAAATTTGTTATCATTATGTAGTGATACTTTCCATCCTTATTGATTTTTGTTAGTCTGTTATCTAATATTAACATAGCTACACCAGCTTTCCTTTGGATACTATTTGTGAGGCATATCATTTTCCACACGTTTACTTTTAACCTTTCCAAATTTCTATACTTTTGGAGTGCCTCTTGAAACAGGGCCTCCTGGATTTTTGTAACATCCAAGTTGACCATTGCTGACTTTTAACTGATGAGTTTAGTTAATTTACTATAATTATTAGTTAATCTGGACTTATTTTTTTAATTACTTTTTCTGGGGGGAGGAGTCTCACTTTTTCTACAATTCCTTGGGTTGATTGACATTTGTTTATGTAATTCCCCCCCTTCTGCTGGTTTGAAAGTTATACATGTTATTTATATTATTTTAGTGAATACCACTGACATTGTACCGTATGTAATTAACAAAAGCCAAAGTTACTATTTAATTCCCTTCCCACACAGATGCAAAGGCACTGGAACACTTTATTTTGTTACCACCTCATTCCTAATTTTTTGCTGTCTCTTATTTTAGTTCTGACCTTGTTTAAACCTACAGATTATGGGGGAGCCAAGGTGGGTCAGTTGGTTGAGTATCCGGCTCTTGATTTCAGCTCAGGTCATGATCGCAGGGTCATGGGATTGAGCCCTATGTGGGGCTCTGCCCTGAGTGTTCTGCCTACTTGGGATTTTCTCTCTCTCTCTCTCTCTCTCCCCCCCCACCCCTCTTCCTTTCTCTCTCTTTCTCTCTCTAAAAAATAAGAAAAAAAAAAAACTATGGATGATGTACTATTATTGTCATCGTTATTGTTTTGTACTGACAATTTTGTTTAGATTCACTTTATTTACCAATTTCTTCACTCAGCATGCCTTCTTTCATTTCAGCTCTTAATGGGGTCATTTTTTTCTTCTTTCTGAGGCATATCTTAAAAATTCAGTTAGTCAGGTCTTCCAGTTGTAAATTCATTTTTATCTGTATTTAACCCTCATCCTGAAAGGCTAAGGATCCAATTCTCAGGTCTTTGGAGATATTATTCAACAACTTTTAGCTTCCTATGTTGCCATTCAGAAATCTGCTGGCGATCTAATAACTTCTCTGGGGAATAAGCTGTCTTTTTTATCTCTAGCTGCTCTTAAGATCTTTGATTTGTTTTTATTTTTATTTATTTTTATTTTTTAAAGATTTTTATTTCTTAATGTTTATTTATTTTAAGAGAGAGAGAATGCAAGTTGGGGAGGGAGAGAGAGAATCCCAAGCAGGCTCCATGCTCAGCATGGAGCCCAATGCAAGGTTGGTCTCATGACTGTGAGATCGTGACCTGAGCCAAAATCAGGAATCTGGACACTTAACTGACCCTTAATTTCGGCTCAGGTCATGATCTCAGGTTTGTGGGTTTGAGCCCCACGTCGGGCTCTGTGCTGATAGAGCAGACTGACAGTGTGGAGCCAGCTTGGGATTCTCTCTCCTCTCTCTCTGCTCCTCCTCTGCTCTCATGCACTCACATGTGCACACATTCTCTCTCAAAATGGATGAATAAATTATTTTTGATGTTTATTTATTTTTGAGAGAGAGAGAGACAGACAGGGCACATGCAGGGGAGGGGCAGAGAGAGGGGGAGACACACAATCTGAAGCAGGCTCTAGGCTCTGAGCTGTCAGCACAGAGCCCAATGTGGGGCTTGAACTCACAAATGATGAGATCATGACCTGGGCCGAAGTCAGATGCTTAACCAGCTGAGCCACCCAGGCGCCCCAATAAATTATTTTTAAAAAGATTTTATTTTTAAGTATCACCCATCATTGGGCTCGAACTCACAACCCTGAGACCAAGAATCGCATGTTCCACCTACTGAGTCAGCCAGGTGCCCCTTTGTTTTTTAGGATCCTGCAGTTTCACTACAATGTCTCTTGGTGTGGATTTCCTCTTAGTAATTCTGCTTAGGATATGTTATGCTTCCTAAACCTGTGAATTTCTATCTTTTTTCTGCTCTGGAAATTCTCACCCTTTACCACCTCAAATATGGCCTCTCCTTTCTTCTCTCCTTTGATGCTGCTTAAATGGATTTTAGATCTGCTCAGTCTGTTCTGTATATTTTGTAATATCTTGTTTTCATATTTTTCATGTCATATCACTCTGTTGCCTTCTGATTAATTTCTTCAAATAGGTCTTCCAAATCACCATATTGATTAATCATGATCCATGGGAATCCTGGACAACTTGCTCTTTGATAAATACATTGTCCCTGAAGCTCTGAGAACAATTCCATGAAGCATGTTGAATGCAACTCTTGAAATCTGAATGATGAGGTGGCCAACATCTTGGAGGAAGATGCTTCAGTCCATGCCAGGGAGATTGTCTCTAACTCTGGATGGATTCCAGCAGCCCTAACAGAGGCAGATTTTACCCGGCAGTCACCAGTGGCCTCAGAGATGTTCCTCTGCCACATCTCTGAAGCTTTTTGTCCATGACCCATTCTTAAAACCCAAGACCTGCCCAACTCAACCAGGTTCTGCCAGTCTGGGGGGTTTGGCAAGAGGGAGGCTGCCTTTATGGTTGAGTTAAATACCAAGAGAGTCCTGCTGAGCACTGGTCCCACCTAGGTCTGGAGCAAGAGGCAAACGAGGAAGCCTTCATTCAGGGCAGCAGAAGTTACCAATCCCCACCCCCACGGTGCTCAGCACATAGTAAGTGCTCAGTAAGATGCTATTATATGAATGAACAAACACTTTGATGGAAGAAGTCATTAGTGCAGTGTGGGCCCAAAGGAGAGTTATAGGAAGGCTTGCTGGGGGAAATGACATTTAAACTGAGGCATAGAAAAAAAATAATAAATTGAGGTATAGACCAAGAGGAAGTAGTCAGGCCAAGAAGAAAGGGAAGAGTTCTTGGTGGAGGGACCGGCCCAGTCAAAGGCCAAAGTGGTAGAATTCAGCCTGGGGACCCTCAGAATACTAGATGAGGCTGGAGAGATTAAAGTGAGGCCAGATGCTCGAAAATCCAGGCTTTGTGATAGATAAGCTAGTCAAACAACACCCTTTGAATTTAATGGATGTTTATTTTTATGCTCCCCTGCTAAATTTTTTTTTTTTTTTTTTTTTTTTGCCGAATTAGGTTTAACTGTCCTTAAAAAGAAGAAATGAACATAGTGGGGCTTTAACCAACAGTGGCTAAAAGCCTTTCCAAAACTGCTATTTTGCGTCCGCACACCCTCCCCCCCCACACCCCGGCCCTCAGCTTTGGAACCGGGTGCAGGGTTTGAATTCCCAATTCTGTCCTTTATGGGCTGAACCAATGGGCAAGTGCCTCACCTTTCTTCTGAGAAAGGAAGCCAATCACAATGCCTACCGTATAGTATTCTATGAGACAGCATGTGTAGGGCAGTGCTGCTTGGCTTGCCTGTGAGCCTGTGCCTGTCCTTCTGAGCCCTTTGGGGGGCAGAGATGCAGCCAGAGTCGCTTTGGCGCCACAGGCCCGGCAGCGCCAGGCACATAGTAGCTGCTCAGTAAATGAAACAACGCCTCGACGAACCCTGGCGGTGCCTTGTGGCATTGCGGCTCCCGGGCCCTAAGCGAGCTCTTTAGGGACAGGGCGGCCGGGTTCTACCCTCGGCACTCGGCGCGGCGCCCAGAACGCCAGAGGCAGTGGCCCTCGGGCCTGGGCTCTTGCGTACTTGGCGACAGGTTGCCGAAGACGGGCTGTGGAAGCCACTAACTTGCCCCTCCGGGTTTAACGCCCCAAGCTGCGGCGCAGAGGCGCTCAAAGCAGACCCGACGCTGCCGCGGCCGCGCGGGGCTGCGCCAGGGGCCGGCGCGGGCGGAGCCGGGTTTTTTGTCGGCTGACTCAGGCCGGCGCGGCGCGCCTTTAAGGCGTCCAGCTGAGCCGGGCGCAGGGAACTGAGCGGCGCGGGCGCGGGCGCGGGCGCGGGCGCGAGCGCGGCTGCGGGGAACGCGGACCGGCCTCTGGATCCCGCCGCACTGTCCAGGCGCCTGAGGTCGGGTCAGGTGAGCGCCGGCGGGCCGGGCGGGAGGTGCGCATCTGGGGTGGGGTGGGGTGGGGTGGGGTGGGGGGGTCCGGGGGCTCCCCGCCCCGGCCCCGTGACCTGGCCCCTCCACTTCTCGAGGCTAGGCTGCCTGGCCGCCGCGCGAGCGGCGCACGGGGCGAAGTGGGTCGGCGACCCGCACCCCCGCGCCTGCTCGGTTCCCCTGCTCGGGCATTAGCCCCTGCCCGCCCCCCTGCAGTGCCTGGGTAGGTTTGACGTTCCCCGAATCCCAGATGTTCCCACTTTCCCGGCTGCCTGCAGCCCTAAGCCCAGGGACAAGGTGGCTCCGGGGCCAGTCCTTGTGCGTCCCTCCGGGGGTCTGGATGCTTTGGAGGCTCCTGCACCCCCGTTAGCCCCACTTCCTGAGGAAGGGCTGCAGCGCGCCCCCCCAGCTAATGGCACCAACCCCCGTCCCGCCCCCGGATATCTGAGCCCCTCGGGACCCCCCCCAGCCAATACCTACACCCCCCCACCCACGCCGGGCCCCCCGCAGCCCTCCCGCTCACCTTTCCTCAGCCCACCCCGACTGCCCCAGCCTCAAGCCCTCCCTCCCGGCAGCCCTTGAGTCATGATACTGGTCCAACCACCCCAACAGCCCGGCGCCGCTCGGGAACCCCCAGCAGCCCCCGCCTACACTTTCACGGGCTTTCTGGCAGCTCAGGAAATTCGGATTGTGTAACGCAGCCTGCAGGGCAGAGCACATGCAGACGAGTGGAGGAGGCCAAGTTGCCAAGAGTGAGATAGGGAGCGGGGGAGAGGGTACCAGAGGGTCTAGAGGCTGTGCGTCCAGGGATATGTACCTTGAGCCCTGTGTGTGCTCCAAGGTTTGGTTGATTAAGAAGTTTCAACTTGAGGGCCGCCTGGGGGACTCAGTCGGTTAAGCGTCCGACTTCGGCTCGGGTCGTGATCTCGCAGTTCGTGGGTTTGAGCCCCGCGTTGGGCTCTGTGCCGAAACCTCAGAGCTTGGAGCCTGCTTCGAATTTTGTGTCTCCCTCTCTCTCTCTGTCCCTGCCCTGCTCACGCTGTCTTTCTCTGTCTCTCAGAAATAAAATTTAAAAAAACATTTAAAAAAAGAAGTTTCAACCTGTGTGGGAGGCCAGCATTTGCCTCACCTTTCACCTGTTCAGAAAACCCTAATGGCTATTCCTACCTGGCTGGGAATTAAGTTATTCTAAGTATTAGCTGACACAGAATAGGTACTGGCTACTAGACCCTGTGCTAAACATCTTTAGAGGATTACCTGCCTTACTTCTCCCAACAGCTCTGAGAGGTAAGTACCAATGTTATGCCCATTTCTCAGAAGAAGAATGTGCCCCCTTTCCCAGGGCACAGTGAATCTGACCTCAAAGTCCCCATTCTAAACCACGAGACTTATTTTTTTACTCGATTGTAACTAATAAAGTCTTATCAATGTTTTTATAACATAGGATGTTAGAAATAAGAGAAATTAATAACCTATGTTCTTAGCACCAATTTATGTTTCTAAAAGTGGTTTCTCAGACCAGTGAGGGTTCCTGTGTCCTCCTCAAAGAGACTGAGGCCCAGAGAGAATGGACGTGCTAGAGGCCACACAGCTAAGAAGTACCAGGGCTGGGATGCTAAACGTGGCCTGGGATGGTGTCAGCTGTTACTTCCTGGGCTCCCAGTAGGGCCCCAGCCCATCAGCCCAGGCCCCTGGAGATTCTGTTCCCTCACCTCTTTGTATCCTGATCCCCCCACCCCGCCCCTGCCTCCTGTGCTGTAACCTCGGCAGGTGACCTGCTGCCTTTGCTTAGGCTCTTCCCTCCTCTGGGAGTGCTCTCCCTGGAATCTCTGAAGTCTAAATCTTACCTTAGCTCCAGCTTAGCAGGTCTCCTTCGGGAACACACCCCTGATTCCTCCCCAGCCTCCAGCTGAAAGTGAGTCCTTTCTCCCCTGGGATCTTATAACTGGGATCCCACTGCCTTCCATCCTCATGATGGCATTTGGAAAGTTCTGTCTACATGTGTCTGCCTATGCTCTCTGGGGCAGCTATGAGGGAGGGATCGATCAGAAGCGTTCCTCAAGACCCTTTTTCCCATCTGCCTGGTGAAGCCTTAGGATAAAAGGGGAGAGAAAGAGAGAGAGAGAAAGAAAGAAAGAAAGGTCCCTGGGCTGGGGGAAGGGGGGAGTATGGCATGGTTTCCAAAGTAAGGATAAACTCAGAATTTCTGAACCCTGCAATTCCAAACTCCCTTCACTAAGCTAAAGCCTGGTCCCAGGGAGAATGGTTCAGCATGGTACCCAATATTATAATTACAGGTTTGTTTTTGTTCATGACCCAGAGGATTACCACCAGAGAATCAGAAAGACTTGGGTCAGAATCCCACTGCTACCACTGCTCCCTGTGTGGCCATGGGCCTATTACCTAACCTTGCTGAGTCTTAGCCTCCGGTAATGGCACCTGCTTCAGAAGGCAATGGTAAGATTTAGATAAAGCACAAGGCCCAGCATGTGGTAAGCCATCAGTAAGCATCAGCTATTACTAAGAGTGAGGAGGTGTTGGCTACCATTTTGAATTACTGGAAATATATGCAATCATTACTGAATGGCTCATACGGACTCTGCTTAGAGGTGGGCCAGAGGAGTCCCAGCCAAGAAGAGGGAAACATTTTTTTTTTAAAGATTTTAATTTTCAAGTAATCTCTACACCCAGTATGGGGCTTGAGCCCACAACCCCAGGATCAAGAGTCACATACTCCACCGACTGAGCCAGCCAGGCGCCCTGAGATCAGCATTTTGTGTGTGTGCTCAGAAAGGTCTGTGAAGCTTTCTTCGACGCTACACCATCCATTGCCTTGGCCGAAAGAATCACCTTTTCTGTTTTTTAGCTTTAAAAATCTAGGAGCTTTGAGTTCTGTGAAGCTGCACATATCTAAAGTGAATGAATGTGTGAATACAGTTCATGCAGTTGTAAGTAATTGTGAAACTACTGATAGGAGGATAAAACGCTTGTTCTTAGAGGTGACATGGGTTTGTACTGTGTGTTGGTTCAGGCTTATCTTAGGGGCAAAAGGTTTGAATCAAACCTTTGGATTTGGAGGGAAGGAAAACAGGAGTGAGTGTTTTTTCCTAGTAAGCTTGTAAGCAGCTCAGAGTAGAAATCAGCTTCCCTACCAGTCACATTCTTTACCAATGCCTGGTTGATTCGGTGACTAGGTCAATTTTTACAGTGATGAGTGTTCAAAAGCAAAGGGCCAGGAATGCCTCCCTCAAAGCTAAGTGTTTGGAATATGCTGGACAGCCAGCTCTGCAGGTTGAAAAACATTTTAAAATGTCTTCTAATTTGATTATTGGGATAAATTAGGATCTCATTTGATAAGTTCAAGACTGTTACATTTAGATATTTTAAGGCATACATTTTTGTAAATTTTCATGGTTCTGTGGCACTTAGCAGGCTCTGGGACTTTCTGTGACGCTATAGGGACATAAATATTTTTTGTACTGTCAACATGGTGGCTATCAAATTCAAATTCAGTAACTTAAAAAATTCTCTTCTTAAGTCACACTAGCCATATTTCAAGTGCTCAGTAGCAACTGTATTAGGTAGAGCAGATAGAGAACATGTCTACCTTCCCAGAAAGTTTTATGGGATGGCACTGTTTCGATCAGAAAGGCCATCGGCAAACAGGGTTAAGTTCCATTCTTTCCAGCAAGTCGTCTGCAGACCAAGAAATGGAATGCGCCGGGGATTGTCAAGAATTAGGATGTTACTTAAATCCCCTTAGCCTCATTTTCACTTTCTGGTTCACTGGCTTTTAACACTGCCGGATTCAAAGGATTGGGGAGAAGATAGAATCAAATGAAATGTCTTCCAGCAGTGTTTCTCCATCCTGGCTGCATGTGAGAATGGCCTAGGGAATTTTAAATGTTTTTATTTTATTTTGAGAGAGAGAGAGGAGGGAGAGCTCATGCACACAGGAGCAAAGGGGGGTGGGGGGCAGAGAGAGAGGGAGAGAGAGAAAATTCCAATCAGCTTGAAGTAGGACTTGATCTCACGATCATGAGATCATGACCTGAGCTGAAATCGAGAGTGGGACACTTAGCGACCAAGGCGCCCTCGCCTAGGGAGTTTTTTTTAAAACACCCATGTCCAGTCTCTGCCCCAGGCCAGTGAATCTGAATCGCTGGGGGTGGCTTCCCAGAATCTATACTTTTAAAATGCTCTCTGGGGGGAGTCTATGCAGCCAGGGTCGAGAACAACTGCCTTCAAGACTGTGAACTTAAAAGAAAAAATTCCTTGAGGACTGGAAGATGCTGTTTCGAGGCAGATATAGTGCGTGGCTAAGAATGTTCCTTGTTGACTTCAGCAATAAATCCAGGGTTGGAGGTTGGTGGGTTCACTTTCTCCAGAAGGACTCTCGGGTGAGGATAGCTTTCCCCCAAAGGTGCATTCGATAGCGTCTGGAGACATTTTTGCTTGTCACGACTTAGGGGTGTCATTGAGTGAGTAAAGGTCCCACATTCTGCTAAATATCGTACAATACATAGGACAGCCTCCCACCACAAAGAACTAGCTGGCCCAGTTGTGCCACAGCTGAGAAACCCTGATCTAGACACAATTTTTTGCAAACCAAAGTCCTGTCTGACCTTGGATGTAGTTGTCTCTTGAAAGAAGATCAAGATATTCTCCTAAACTGGGCCCTTGGAAACCCTCTGGATCATATTCCAGGCTTTCCGATCCCAGAAGCCAAGTAGGGTGTCACAGCCTATAGTTGGATGCGTTTGGGGCTACACCAAGGAAACTGCTGATTCAGGGGCACTGGGCAGTCTGCAGGCGATATGGGGAGCGGTCCTTACACTGCGGGGGGGTTGGGATCCTCTTCTTTGGGTGAAGTAATTATCTAAAGTAATAGCAGCCATTGCCTTGGACTGTTTTCCAGAAACTGTGGCTCTGTGGCTGTTGGCATTGGATGTTTGCCTTGTGATATACCCCAAACAAGA